AGCAGGATCTGGCATCATGTTAGGGAAAAAGAAGTTGTATTTATCTGAAGCACTTCACTCATCCTGGGTCTGTGGAAGACTGAGCTGCACAGGCAGGGCATCCAGCCCAGGGGGTGGCTGAGCCTGGGAGGCAGGGGAGAAGGCTATCAGACCCCGTTCCCAGAGGCAGGCAGGGCACCTCTGTGTGCTAGACCCATGGAGGCCAGCTCCTTGGTTCAAGGGAAATTAATGTTTTTTCTAAAGCATATCAAGCCATCTTCTGTAACCTAGTCCAAGTGGTTTGCAGGTTCACCCCCAGAGTGCCATATTCCATGGGTCAAACACTTTCAGCATGGGAAACTCCTACAGAAAAGACCTCCTCCCTCCCATTATGAATGAGAGTCAAAGACAGGGATATCAACGTAGAAACCCAACACAGGAGGAGCATAACTGTGAGGCAGAGAGATGGTCACACACTCATCCTGGCCAAGTGTGAGGTGATCAGAAGACCCAAGTGTCCCCAGTAGTCAAAGTCTCCATAACACCAGGCCCTGCCTGCAGCCAGGCTGCGATTGGTTTTACACTGAGTGAGAGATCTGCTGTGGAGCAAACTCTCCCTTGGAAGGCACAGTGCTGCCAAGATCAGGTCAACCCATAGATGGCTCTGCTCAGAGCTAAATGAAGAGGAGACATAGCTCCTAGCGCTTCCCAGCCAGGCAGGGAGACACATCTTGTGCTCCCATGGACTTCCACAGGAACCAAATTAAACTGGAGAGGCAACTCTGCTCTCCTACAGCCCATTTCACTTGTCCCAGCCTGAGTTCCATGGGAAGATGTCCCCCGGCTCCTGGGACTTCCTCAGGCCCAACACTCATCTGGAGACAGAGTCATGACACAGTAACTGCAATGTAAACATGCAGCCTTCTGGCAGGCTAGCCACTGAAGGCACCGTGCCTTCGAAGAGCAGGTTTCCTTCCTGGCCAATTCAGAAGTTTTAGGTACCAATGAAGGAGTGCTCTTTGTTCATTATTTCCAATGATTTTACTTGTACATAAAGATCTCTTTCAAGCCTCCATCAGAAAAGGTAGAAAAGCCCTGCCTGGCTGTGTCTTCTGCACTGTGTCAACTTCTGTCATGGTACCACAACTGGTATTTCCAGTGGAACCTTAGCTGTAATCCTGAACCACACAGGACAGGGTGGACTGAATAGGGAGAAATATAGAAGAGGATAAAACTCCTTTGACACCTTACAATACATTACAAAGTCTGGCTTGGTCCCCAAATGGTCCTATACCTACAGCCTTGTTTCCTGGGGCAAATGAACTCCTACTGCAACCACCTTTCCCCCTCTGCTCCATCTCTTACAGGCAGTTGCTACTGAAGACCTTCTACAAGGGGGGAGGGAAGTGATGAGGAACCGTTTTTGTTAAATCTCTTCTTCCTCTTCACTAGCAACTTCCTTCAGGTCCTGAGACCCCTGCTCTGCTCTCTCCTTTACATAGGCTGCCTTGATCTGTTCCAGCTCGCACAGCTCTGCCTCCAGCTCTTCCCTGTGCATTGACCGCCGGTTCCTCAGCAGTTTCATGGGGAAGGGGTTTAAGTCATTGAAGGCAATGTTCATCAGCTTCCTACGATGGAAAAAACAGGTCTGGTGAACTGATTTACTGATTGGTAACAGCTGATAACAGATATGCCACAGGCATCCTGGGGTGGGCCAAGAGTAGGGCCTCGGATTTCAGCTCTCTGAGCTTAAAGTCACCAAGCAGAGTCTTAAAGGAATCACAGGCAATTCCTTCTCACACAAACACCAACCCAAGCAATACTTTAAAAAGCCTTATACCACAACACCTTTTAATGTACTGGTGTGCAGCCACCAGTCAGGAGACAGTGGATCAGATGCCAATTCTGACGGTGCCTGGGGTAGGAATATTCCCGATGTTGAGCTCTTCTGATCACAGAAATCTTCCTCTGATGATTTCATGTTGCCATCAAAGATTGTGAGTGGTGCTGTATTCCCAAATACCCCAACTACAGCTGAGAGAAACACAGCACATGGCAGCACAAGTTCCAGCTCCTGCAAAAATGAGGCTGGCCCAGATTTTGTGGCCTGCTCGGCTGTAGTGGCCTGCTCTGCTGTAGCACACCTTTGCTGAGCCAGAAAGACTTTAAGTAACACCATGAAGTGAAAGTCAAAAAGAGATAAACTGACCCATGTCCTGTGGACCTGTCAATGCGCATGCATCTCTCTTAACAGACTGGTCACAACTCTTTTTAGGCTGACCTAACGTGCAAGCAAGTACAAACCCAGAATGGAAGGTTGTCTACAACCCACAGTCCTACCTGCCATCCATGATCATTCTCGTGAAAAAGCGTAGGTACTGGTAAATCTCCACACTGTCATGAATTCTTAGAATTTCCTCCTCGTTGTACTTAAAAATCGCAAGAGCATAGCGGAAAATCACCTGGGGGGATTGAAACATATTTGAGTTGGAAAAGTCTTAGGCAGTTGGGGGACCATGCCTTCCTGGCGTAAAACATGGGGTGGGCCACACAGCACTCAGTACAGGCTGGATGCTGGGCTCCTCCTGCTCTCAGTAGGCTGTGTTAGGGCAGGCCTCAAGAAGCACAGAGCTAATCCCAACAAAATGACCCTCTGTAAACTAGTTTATAACTCCAGAGCATACCAGGTCCTCCAAAAGGACCCCACAGGGATTTTGCAAGGGTTCTCCAGATGCACAGGGACAATGCAAGACTCATGTTTTCAGATACTAACTCTCTGCCCATCTTCGGCTCCCTGTATCTGTCATACTGTCAGCTGTGTCTAGGTCACAGAGCAGAACACACCATGGCCTGTCAGAGAGCTGTTTCATAGCAGGACTGTTGGCTAAAAAGTGTCAGGGATACTGTGCCTACTGGCAGCAAGTACATAGACAACACAGAAGCTGGGAGGTGTCAAGGCACCCCACCAAACAGGCAGGATAGGACAAGAGGCTCAACCCCACATCTCTTTGACACATGTGTATGTCCATCACCCTGCCATCAGGTCACAGAGGTGATGCAGATAGGAGGAAGGCCTAGACTGAGAGTTGCACCTTAGTTCCTTCGTACAAGAAGGCATCCCACACTCGCAGGAGGATGTCGCTGACCAGGCTGTCCACAAAGGCCACCAGAAACCAATTGAAAGTGATGAGTGAGACATCAATCCGATACTGCTCAAAATGAGCCATGAGGCGAGGCAGCTTCTCTGACAGGAAGTCTTTGAAGACTCTCTGATCTACCTAAATTTGACAAAAAAGAAAACAATGAAATCCTAGTCAAGAGCAGTCCTAGTGTTGGAGGAGAAGAGTGGTGCAACAGGACAGTGGCCCACTGGTGCTACCTTCTAGCCTACCTACATCCAAGGAATAGCAGAGCATCCTTTGTCTCCCAACCCTTTCCAACTACTTGTATGCTGTACCCAGTGCAAGGTGTGGAACTGAAACAGGGCCAAGATACAAGTAGAGATACATAACATTCTTCTCACTCAGAGGATCAGATTCCTTCCCAACCTCAAAGACAAGAGGGAAAACGCTGTTACATCTTCGTGCACCAGTCTTACTGGGATTTTCTGTGATGTCATGAGCATCCAATTGAATCATAGGGATTAAAACCTGCCCCAATCTCAATGACTACACATGGCCCAACAGAATAAACACCTAGAATTCCTCTGACTTTGCAAGCAGGACCTGATCTTCTCACCTAGTTTCTCTTTTCTGGTCTGAGTACTGTCTGTGCTCTGCTTCTGGTTCCACGAGCTGAGACACAGAAATGCAGTTGGTGAGATCTCTCACCCAGGTTTATAAAGGCTTCATCTCAGGGAAGCCGTGATTTCATGAGTGGAAGTGCTAAGGAGCAAGATCACGGCTGGGTCTTCCCCTATGTAGTATGCCATATCATACTACTGCCCCAGCTGTGTCAGCCCACTTAGCTGCGGCACAGTGGTACAAACCAGACGAGGTGATATGCTTAGTCTTTAAAATCTGCAAGAGCTAAACCTTAAGTTTTCCAGCCAACCCAGAGCTTTCACTTTCTCAAGCTAACGTGGATCTTAGCTAGACTTTCAGAGACCAACCATGAGGTCAGGAAGCCTTTCTGAAAAAGGCTCCCTCAGCTGACAGTCTTTTCTCATCAAATGTAGGGGAGCTTCTGTGTCTTCAGTCTGCCATGTTTTCCTGTCAATCACAATGTCAAGTATTGAGCACTGCTTATTAAATCTCATGGTTAACACTACCGGATAGACATTTTGCTATCTGCACAGTGATTTGGCTGCTTCCCTAGCCTGTGGTCTGGTGTCTCAACCAGCACATCACTATCCCAGTAAACATTAGTCAACCAATTGAGTGCCACAATCAGTCACTCTCAGATACTGATGCTTGTAGCCTCATCTGTTATGGGCCCACAGATACAATTCTCTTCTGTCTGAAAGGACTACACACAATAAAGACACTAAGGTCACAGCCAGGTTCACCAGACTGGGCACTGCTGGCTGTGGATGGTGTGGGCACACAATTACAATTCCATTGAATTGTATGGGATTTATCTTGTCTCTGTGTCTGCCTGGGAGGACATAGCATATCTGATACAAGACAACATGTCTGGAAAACCTCGAAATCCAGCAACTTTGAACCAAGAGGGTCAGTTACAGAACATTTCACACCAAACGGCCAGAGGGATTCCTGATCTGCAGGGATCCCCAAAGCCAGAACTAACACTGTATTTGATCACGAACTGAGGCAAATACAGTGAATATAAAAATCTTCTATCTGCACATGATACTCCAAAGATAGGGTGCACTTTCCAAAGAAATATCTGCAGGACTGCAGGACGGTTCCTTCTTCATAGTTAGTTCTACACGTCAGTTTGCCACTTCCCCTCCACTAGGCCCTGCTTAAAATAAGTAACCGTGCAATTAATCGGCACCTTCCTTCTGTCTAACCTGACCTTCAAGTGATTACTAGGAGTGGTGCCTAATTTCCTAGTGCTGAGGGTCAATTTTGCTGTTCCTGTGTGTTACAACTTCATACTCTCAAGTCTACACCACTTCTGCAATGGAATGGATTGCAAGGTGGTTTCACTGTCCTATGAGAAATCAAACACACTGACAAGCTGACTGCTTGCTTTTAAACCTTTACTGTGAATCACTGTATCAGAGTCCAAGCAGATGTGAGGGCATCCAGCTCACCTGTGATGTTATCAGTGTGTCACTGTAGTAGTCTGCCGGCATTAGGTTCTCCACAATATGGACTAGGCACCAGAAAGCACTTTCCTCATCTTCCAGGACCAGGAGGGCAACAGCTGCCAATCTGTGATGGACAAGGCATGGTGAGGCAATGCAACACTGCAGGAAGAGACGTAGGCCAGCACAGGAACTGAAGAATCCAAGATTCCTCTTGGCATGTCTCTAGCTCCATGAGCATCCAAAACATCAAATGTGGCAGGACAGTTCATCAGAAAGGCAAGTGATCTGTTTTGTGGGTTTCTGAAGGAAGCTCACTCAGAGATACTCCATATTACATGACATAGCTCATGTTCCCGTACATTATTCTACAGCTCTTACCTACTTCAGCTCTGACTGTATACCCCCTTCCAGATGGACTGGAAAGACGATATCTAATACCAAGGGCTCTCTACAGTGGAAAATGTCTTTCTGAAGACCATCCAAAGAACAACAGGAATAGCTTACACAGACTTTCCTCATATGAAAAGGTCCAACCAGAAATTCCCTTCTTGCAGCTAGTGCCCAGTGCCTGTTTTACTTGGCGACACACTTCTAAGAAGTCTGGTTTTACCTTTGCTACAGTCTTCTTTGGGAAGTGGAAGCTTTTACATTCCCTGAACCTTCTCGTCTCCAGTCAGAACAACCCCAGTTTCCTCAGCCTTTGCTTATGTCATTTACTCCAACTTCCCATTTCCTCCAACTCTTCTCAGCAAAAAGGGGAATCACCAGGGTGTTCTTCTGCTGAGCACATTAAGACTTAGAAATTCAGCCCCAGCTCCATGCTGTTATTCTGGGACTGCTCACTCTACCTACTGTAGTTGCTCCTTCCTGTTCTGCAACTACGGAGATGCTGAACAAGTGCATCCTGCTGCTTGCTTAATCCCAGCAACAACAGTGGGTGAAAAAAGACCCCAAATGCAAAATTCTGCAGGAAAATACCTAGAGCCAGGACAGAACTCTAGAGAGGCAGGAGCCTGGAGTTGCTTGAATCACAGCTAGAGCATGTGTCTACACCTTCTCAGTGCTATTCCATGAATAAGCAGCATACCTGGCTCCTCACCTGTTCAGTCCCTGGCAGTATCCAATGGCAGGATTGTGCCAGGAGAATGCCAGCAACACCCTTCGGAGCTTGGGGATGAGCTGGGAGGTGGGAGAGGAAAAATGTTTGTTGTTGGTCAGCGTGCGGGGCAGGTCAAGCTCAATCTGCCGGCAGGCAGGGTGCTCAGTGCTCTGGCTCTGCCGTAAGAGCCGCTGGTAGTGGTCAGGCAGGTGGCTGCAGTGCCGGCTGACAATCCACCTCCAGACTCGTTGCCGATGCTCCACTGGAATGCCACTTCGGATCAGGCTCTTTAGCTCTGCAGAGGGGCTCAGCTCTCCCACGCTGTTCCACCTATCACGGAGGGGCTTCTCCACTACTTCCTGGCTCCGCAGGTTGTTGGACTTTATCTCCAGGGCCTGGATTTTGGCCAGAAGTTTCCAGTCCTCAACTTCATATTCAGGTACAGTCATAAACCCATATTCATCATACTCACTGGAGGGACACAAGGCAGAGGTTAGTTCAAAGAACAGTGCTGAGTGCTGGCACCTGCATCAAGGGCCACTCACTGCTTGGGGCATGCCAGCTACAGCCTGCTGCCAGGTTCTTGTCACTCATGCCAGAGCACAGGTAGTCCTTCACTTCTCTGGCAGCTGCATGTGAGAGCCTGCCATGCTCACTGTCTCAGAGCCCTGATGACACATAAGAGCCTGCAGCAACGGCATACACATATGAACTCAAGTGCAACTTTCTTCTGAGCTACAGCTCAACCTCATCAGATCGCTCTCACCCCACCTGCTCCCTTGCCCCTAACGGAGTATCTAGCTCAACCTGTGTACTTTCTCCCTACCATGTCCTAATGGAGAGACAGTTCTATAGGAAGGGACTGTAAAGGCTTTGGGGCATCAGACCAAAGAACACAGTCCTTCTGAAGTCTCCCTGTACACAATGCAAATCTCCTACCGGTCAGAAAACAGCAGGAACACTGATAGTACAACTTGTTGAAGGTTTGTGCACCATCAGTCCACAGGCTGGGATATTTGTAAGATATCATTATATTCTTGACAGAGAGACCAAGCTTGGCCTTGGGGTCTCATCTCCAAAGCTACCTGGAGAACCTGCAATTCTGACCAACCAGATGAAAGGGAAACTGCTACAGAACTGGGACACTAACTGGGCAGGAAACCACAAACACAACTGCAAGGACCCCAGCAGCGCTGGTGGCAAGGCTCTATGGAGGTCTCCAGTACAGCACTCACTTCACTGCAGGATTGTTCCCAGCACTAGAACAGGGAAACAGTGGCTTGTATGGCTGGGACTAGAAAATACCAAAGGATGGAGACTGCCCACCTCCCAGGTGGCCTCCTTTCCTACAGAAGGAGTTTATCCTCATGTCCAATGTTTACCTCCCAGGCACACCATGGCTGTTGGACTTGCCATACTGTCTGCCACTGCCAAGAAAAGTTTAGGTGCACCATCTGCAACTTCTCCTTCCTACCGTGATAAGCTGTTATCAGATAGTTGTGGTCTCCACACCACCAAACTAAACCAGCCTCCTCAACCTCCATTCCTAGGTCATGGCTCCAAGTCCCTGCTATAGAAATCTCCCCAGAGCTTTCTTGCCTGCACATTCCCTTCCACAGCCAGACTCCTACAAGCGTGTGAATATCACCATGCTCTTGCCTCTTACCTTACAGGGTTCAGGTTGAAACCTTCTTCTGCTTCTTCCTTGACGTCCCACTGGAGGGCTTCCTGGATGAGGTTCCTCACCAACTCAGCATGGGAGCTGGGCAGGCCAGGCACAGCCTCCTGCAGCTTCCGCAAGACTGTCAGGTACTTGCTCTCCATCTGGCAGTTTCGTGCTTGCAGGCAGGCACACTGAAGGGGAAACAAGAGGGAATGAGCTGGCTCATTGATGGGTCTTTCTGCATTGCCACTGCTCTCTACTGGCCTAGTCTGCACATAAAGTGAAAGCTCCTGAACAGCAAAGCCCCAGAAAACACATCCAGCAGTTTCCTACAGTCAGTGGAATTACAGGCATGAATTAATCACCGTGGTCTTTGAACAAACACAAGCTGCAGTAGCTAGCATGCAACAGAAGTTGCTCATTGAATGGGAGACCTACTACAGCATCACTTACTTTAGGTATTGCATTGCATCTGTGGATGGCCATATCCCAGCCAGCTCAGGACACAACCAAAGAGCTACCACTGCAGCTGAGTTCTCTGCAGGCTTTCTCCCTGCTCCTCAGACAAGTTATCTACCCACATTGAGCTGTATCCTGACAAAAACACACTGCCCCCGGGACTGAGCTATGACCATACCATTTTCAAGTTACACGGTAGCAGCACAGACAAGGAGACCACATGCTCCTCAGCAACCCCAGTCCCATGGCACTAGTACACAACATTTTTCAAGCACAGGAAGCCCATCTGAGTTCAAACAGCAGTCCCTGCCGCCACCATACTCCTGGGCACACCAAGCAGAAAAAAAGAATGAGGACTGTTGTCCCCACTCCACAAGTAGGGAACTGAGGTCACACAGGTGACAAGACTCACCCAGTGTCTCAAAGGAAGCTCAATCAAGACTTCTGCTCAGTGGGAAGCAGCAGTTGAAAACAAAAACAAAACAGAAACCATAGAGAGAATTAGGCTGTATATAGAGGGGACAGGAAGGAGCGTGGGATACTGTCATACCACCACTTTAATCAGCATTTTGCCTCACATTGAGCATGTTGGTCTGATTACTTCCTTTCAGAAGGTTATGGCAGTTTTGGGATCAGAGAAGGGCAGTGAAGTTAGAAGGTAGGTAGGGTTTCAAAGGTCTAGAAAGCAAACAGATGTAAGAATGACAATAACACTTCAGAAGGAGCTTTTTGCCCTGTTCCAGAATCGAAGACTGTGGAGACACACCTTAAAACCCAGGGAAGTAAAACCCAGAGAAAACCAACAGAACAAATGCCAGCACATGCCACCAGCCTGGGGAACTGGTTCAGAACCAAAAGGTCGGACTGGACAAGTCTGAGAGCAACCAGGTTATGCATAGTCACAAGGCTAGAAATAAAAAAGCTTAAGAAAGCGTAAGAACTCTGAGCTAGCTGCAGGACCTGAGAGTGCTGCCACCTGGCAGTGCCAAACCTGGTAAAGAAATCAAGACTAGATGGAGCCAGGGTTCGGTCAGTCTGCCAGCTCTCAGGAAAATTTTCTCATTCCCTACATGTAAGGTTGCTTTTCTATTTGTATCCAAAAGCATAGCTGACATGCAGTAATCTGGTTAAGTTTCAGATCCTTAAGACTCAGCTTTGCAGGTATTTCACTTTATTGAAGAACAAAAATGATCATGTCTAACTTGGGAACAACATAAAGCAGAAAAAACGTCAAACTAAAAAAAAACACATTGGGAAGAAAGCTTATTCGTGGTGTGTTTTGGATCAAAATCCATCCCAGTGCCAACTTTGGAAAGAAATTAGTAATAAGTCTTACCAAGGAAAAAAAGTCACTTTGTCTTACCTTCATCAGAAGAGCTTTTTCATTCTCAGTAACACTTGTCCAGAGTCGAGTAACCTGGTGGATCTCAGAGTTGAGAAATTGGTTCTGGGTTTTGTATGCATCAATATCATCCTGCCACAAAGCAAAACAGTTATACAAGGAGAGTTCTTGAGGGGCTTGGAATCCTCTCCCAGTTCAGGGACCTCTGGTGTGGATTGTGTTAAGGACAAGAAAATATCTCAGCAATTTTGTGTTCTGGGGAGAAGACAGGACTCCCCAGGACAACTACTGCCTACAAAGGAAATCAAGGCACAACATTAAATAGAAGTGTTATGCATAGACAAGACACTTGAAAATGTTAAGTGCACTGCATGTACCTGCTTAGAAAACACAGAGACATCCAGGTGATATAAAGAAAGAGAAGCACCTAAATAAGATGAAGAATATATGTGGTTTGTTCTTTTTTTTTTTTTAAATTGACACAAACCTCAGCCCCACGGCTGGCAGCAAAAACAATCACTCTCCCACAATGCAGTAAGTGCTCTTTTGGCAATTCTCCACCGCACGCTAACTGGTCATTATAACTGTATATAGTGACATACAACAGGCTGGATTTGAAAGAACCAGGATATATTGGGAAACTGTTTGCAAGAGGAAAACACAGAGAAACAAAGCTAGTGAAGGCAGCAAGTGAGACTGCAGCTGTGAAACAAAAGAGTGAAGAAAGAGACAGGCACTGAATGGTGACACAAAGTCAAACAAAACAGGCTCTGAGCTGGAGCTGAAACTAAACCAGATGCTTTGGAGTGCCCTATTGGTATCAGGTGAGCCCGTTCCAGCCTGCCTCTGGTTTGGAGACAGACAGAACAACTAGCAGAAGTATATTCTGCGCTTCCAACAAGGAACACCCTTCCACCGAACCTGTGGGCACAGAAGTGGGAGCCCCCAAATTATCTGTGCCATCTCACACACCTTCAGGTGCTCAATCTCCTCCTGCTGCTTATACAGTGTCTCTGCAGTGATAGTGTTGGCTTCTTGCATGGGGTCAGAGAGCTCTCGGGCCATCTGCTCAGTCAAGGCCATGATGACTTCCTGTTTGGCGTGGTTTTTCTCCATCAGAAGTTGCACGTGCTCCTTGAGTTCCTGGATGTGGCTGTCTCTCAGAGTGAGTATCTGCTCCAGTTCCTTCTTTTCTTGCTCAAGAGCTTCCAGTCGACTGGTGAGATCTGCAATTTGTCTGACTTTGTGGCGCACCAGCTCCAGCCTGTCCTTATCTTCTGCTGCAGTGAGATACATGCTAGATACTCGCTTCTCCTGCTGGGCTGCCTCCAGAGCTTTGTGGAGAAGTTTAACCAGCTCCTGGAAAGGGAATACAAAGCCATCATATCAGAATGCTGCCCAGGGCAATGGCAGCATGGACAGTAGAGACTCAACCGGTAATGAGTGAATAGTCAAAGGTCCTCAGGATCTTGAAACTGACTTTTTTCAGAAGCAAAACTGAATGCAGCAATCTTGAAATCACAGTGCATTCCCAGCAGAGAAGCTCTGCTCTCAGAGCTGGACCTGAAAGGTCTCTGCAGCAGGCCACAGATGACTTGACTTTAGGTGGATTGCTAACAGACAAGCTGATGCTTACACTGTCTGAATTCTGGCTTTCCTACAGTCATTGTTCTTGGGAGGCCCAGCAGAGACCAGAGAAGCTGAAGATCTGGTCAGCAGTGCAGTAAAATACAAGGGAGGGAAATAATGCAGTCTGCATCTACCTGTGCTGCCAGAAGGAAACTGCTGCATCCATCTTAACGTTCCCTCTGCCAGAGTCCTCCCTCAGTCCAGCCCACATGAAGGCACAAAAGCTTGCCCCAGCAACATGCCGCTGATTCAGTATCTGCCATCTCAGCCACTTAAGGAAGAAAATCAAGGATGCAACTGATTGCGCACCGTGGTACCTGGCTCTCCTGCCTCTTCTGCTGGAAGACCTACCAGCATCATCAGTGAAAAGCCTGGCATTGCTCCATCCTTGTGAAGAAGAACAGTACCATTCAGAGAGACAGCCCTTGCAGTGACCCATGTGCTGACTTCTACAGTCAAATCACCTCTTAATGGTGGATTACTGTTCAAAAAGAATGACCTGCTGTTAACAGCATCACTCAACCTGGCAGTTCCTGCCAGTGTCATGGTACATATTCAAGACTGTACTTTGTACATTCACTGCACAACACAGACGCACAAGCAAGGCATCTGCAGAGCGCACTTGGATTTGCTTTACCTCCCTTTTCCAGCCCATCTGCTAGCTGCACTTCCTAGCAATGGCTGAAGGACTGAGGGACAGCCCATTCTCCCTTGCACTGGGCACAATCAGGCATATACAAAGGGTAACACCAGGAGCTTAAACTGGTCCCCAGTGAGTGCCTGCTGAGCATTTCTCAGCCTAACACAAGGTGTAAGGGAGTCCCTGTGACCAGTCTCAGGGCCCTGCCCTCAGAAGCAGCAAATTCTTCACCACACTCACCTTCTGTGACTTGACTTCCTCTGTGAGTGTCAGGATCTGCTGCTGTAGGACATTCACTTTATCCATTGGGCTCCTCTCCCTGGACAGTTCTTCAGGCAAGCCTGGGAAGGTACTGTTCATCCACCTTGCTTTCCTAACCCAGTTCAGCCGGGGCTCCATCCTCTCCTCCTCTGTGGTCCCTTAGGGAAATAGGGTTAATTTATATAGAATTGGGTTGCTACTATGGACTCCAGAGTCTTGCTATCCGGGGACTCACAACAGCTCAACAGAGAAGACTAACACACAGCACAAGGCAAATTGACCTGCTGGGATCCACAGGGTTGAAGCACAGGCAGCAGGGATCAGTCACAGGTACCTCCAGAATAAACAAAGCCATGATATTTTATGGTACCTGTTAACCCACCTTGCACCCCGCTCATCTATCTTGCACACAGCAAACGCAAGTCACCATGGTGGATAACTTCCCAAGCATGCAGTGTTGCTCCTGAGCTTAGCCTGTGGCCATGCAGCAATTTAACTTCTACCTCAAAGAAATACCAGTATGGGCTGGCACCACGGATGGTATTTTTGCCACTGCACATGGTTCCAGAGGTAGAAGAATGACAGATGCAGCCTGAAGCAAAGCCAAAAGAGTCAGTCTTGTGCCCAACAACACAGGAAGGGACCTGAGACAATGTGATGGAGTTTTTATGTCCCATGATGACTTGCCACCCTCTCCCTCCCTCTCCCTCCCTCTCCTGCTAAGTGTGACTCCCTGCCAGAAGCCATCATAATCGTAGCAGCTCACACAGATCAGTAACAAGCACCTGCACACCCTGCCTCCACTTTCGCCTCTTGCTCCTCATCTGGGTTCTCAGGATGCTCCTGGAATTCACTGAAGCTAAAGACATTCCCATTGTTCCCCCAGAGCTGCTTGGAGCCACAGATATTGTAGACAGTGTTTCTGAAACAAGAAGAGATCAAGACAGCCTAGTGAACAGGAGAGGTCATGATCACTGCAGTCGGTGCATATTCAAACTATTCAATGCCTTACCTCTCCTCACATCCCATCCCCCCTCCCAAAACCTATTTCCTTCATGTGCTGAGAAAATTAACTATTCACAGCACGGGTGGATCTGAGAGGAGAAAGGTTGTAACTGGTGCAAATCAGGAAGGTGCCACAAAATCAGCACCAGCACAGCAATGCAAATCAGCTGGAGATCTTTCCCCATGTGCTTGAGCCCTGTGCACCAAGAAATGCATCAGGCTGGACAGAGGGATCAAAAGTAACAGTAGACCAACCACATCCCTCCCTTCCTCCCTTCCCTCTCTCCCTCCCACTCCTCCTCCTCCTTCCTTCCCTCCCTCCGTCCCTTTCCTTAGCTCACTGCGGAAATCCCCAGGTGCCAAGAAAAGCTCAACTATCTACAGCACAGCCAAAACTGCCACAATGATCATATCTGAAGCAGCCACAGGTCCTGTGCTGTGAACCACATTTAATAACCTTGCCACAACAAACTTAATAGACTTAGATGCAACGAAGAGATTCAGGAACAAAACTGCAGTCAGACCCAGAACCAGCTGCTATCAGATATTGCCAGAAGCACTAAGGGGTGACTTTACAGCACCACGCAGAACCACAAATGTGCAAGTATTTTCTGTAAAATCTATACAGCAAAGTGAGACAGTTGCCTGTCTTTATACAGGTCTTTTCCCTTCTCATCCTGTGTTGTCCATCAGCTAAAACAAAACAAGCCCCTTGTTTTGAGATCTACAAAACACTCAGTGTCAGTTACTTCCTAACTGTAAGTGAAGTTGGCATTTAGATACTGTTCTTTTGCCTTGTTACTGTAAGAATCCACAGCAGAAGAGCAGACATTTTTGTCTTCAGGGAACATATTGGCACATAAGATCAGCAGACCTTCATTCCCTGTAGACTGCAATTGGCATGCATCCAATGCAACTTTCCTACTTTACCTCATGCTGCACTTGTTTTTCCTCTGACACAACAGCAGCTCAGCGATCTGATGAACTTAGCTGTAATCAAACATGCTACACTCATGAAGACCCAGCCTGATAATGATAAAGCCTGAAGAAACGTTCACAGAACCAGGGAAGCAACACAATTTGAAGCTGAACAGAGGCAATTGTTACTCAAGCTAGCAAAAGCAAGGCTGTGTAGTGGGAAGGAGATATGATCATATTATTTTTAATCAAAGTGAGGAGGAGAGAATGCATAGCCTGCAAAATAGTACAGCTGACTGATCCTCTTTGGTCCCATGGGGGATCTTTCTTCCTATCAGCATCAGATTATAGCCACAGTAGTAGCAGTAAAAAAATACAGCCAACCCCCCCATCAGAAACATTCAGCTGGTGCCAGGCTGCCTCCCACACCTGTGGCCACTTACACATTTTTGGTTATATGTAAATAAGTGCCTAGGACACACTTAAAGAGATATTCATGGGGGTTGTCTTTGTGCAGCTGTAACTGCCCAACGCTTGTAACTTGTAGCCCTGATGAAGCTACACACTGCAACTACAGATAAAAGCATCACTGTAGGCAGTGGGAATATTCACATAGTTGAAACTCAGCAAGGAGTAGCAAGCTGTGCAGTGTCCCGCCATATTACAGGCTCAAGCACCTTTTGCTTGGAGTTCCTGTTTTAGAGAGTGTACTACATTCAAGGTCCTCTGAAACCACTGAAAGGTGCTAATGGGCTTCTATCACTAGCCTACAGAGTACAGCTCAACCTGCCTGTGTACCCTTCCAAGAGCAACGTGCATATACATTGCAGCAGGCATGCAAACCACTACCTACACTGCAGAAAGCTTAACCAAGCCCTAGGTCTGCCACTAGGATCTTTGCTAAAAGAGCTAGATGATGTGAAGTGCATTGGAACAGTGTGATGTGAAAGACCCTCTGGCAGGAAGTTTACTTCCGCCTGGAATATCCTTCAAAAAGCTGTTTCATGGTTCTTCCACCTATGCAAGAGTCCCATTTCACACAACATGTGACAGGAAAGGAAGGCACGAAGTGGTAGACCAACATGTCAACCACATTGCAGCTCTCCTCATGCACTTACTGTATCTCTGTCCAAGGGTGCTTAAGGGAGATGTTCTGCAACGCAGTAGATGTTTGGGGTGCAGGCAAAGATGCTGCCTTTAAACCCACTGCTTCTGTTGGTGTTTTCACCGGAGGCAGAAAGTCTTCATTGTCAACGATATCTGTGTAAAAACAAAACAGGACACAGAAGCAAGTGAGCAAGACAGAATTCCATTGGACTTTGGCTCCCTCGTGTAACTTGAGAACCACAACATTTTACTACAGGCATACATTCCATGTTCAACTGATCAAGTGGAATAAGGACAGTAAAGCAGGTTTCCTTAGTTTTAGGTTGAATTACAGAAGGCTCCATGTACAAACAGAGTCATCTATTCAAGGACAATCAAGTGACTTCAGCCATTTGTATATGAGAATAACTAATTCTAAACAATCAAACTTCAACAGCCTAAAGCAATACGGAAGGTAGCTGTTGCTCTTCTCTTCTCCCATCTCAAACAGCGTTTGACAGTTTTAATGTGCACATAACACTCCACAAACACAGTTTGTAACCAAAATATTGTCTGCTGTAGCAAAACGCCAAGGTACCCAGAATCTTTTAGAGCAGACACTTACTAGGGAGGGGGTTATTTTTTTCAAAAAAAAACCGTGCATCTAGTCATAACTAAGCAGGTGGACACCCTGCTTGTGGTCTCCCCCAATCCACTGGCCTGTGTACTCCCACCGCTAGGAATGCACATCTTCATCCCACCACCGCTGAAGAAAAATTTGCTTGCTGTAAATTTCATAGGCCTCACAAGAGGAAGGGGATACACCAAATGTGCACACTTCACATGTGTGAGAAAAATCAAGAGGGAATTCATGATCACGAAATACCTGAGCATGTCCAACCACATACTGTGGATTAGGAGACACTCCATTCACATTCATCCATAATAAGGCCAGAAGTTCCACACATCGACCAAGCATTGATAGTTGGCACTTGCATTTAAAAACCTGGCCAAAATTTCTGCCCACTTACAGATGAGCAGCACCATTCATCACTGGGGTGCTGAAAGCAAAAGAAAGGCTGACATATGTGACACCTACTTGTTCTGCAAGCCAGAGGTTCATTCACAAGCTGGGAGCTGCCCACAGGAAATCTGCTCTGAGCGTTGTAAAATTCCCAACGTCTCATTTGTAGCTGCTGCAGCCAATACATCATTGCCTGTTTGCTGATTGCCTAACATAACACAAAACAGGAAGGAGACGGGAGTAATCTCATCAGCATGAGACACATCCTGAAGGGATGACCATCACTTCAATGTGCAAGTCAGCAGAAACAAAGGCCAGCTGTGTCAAGCCTATGCTATATCCCCTGGTCCCAACACCACTTTGGAAGGCCAGTAAATCTTCAGCATAGCCTTAGGAACAGAACCTCAGTGGACCACTGACCTAATTTTAATCGGTTTTTGGTTTACTGTGCTCCAAGGCTAAGCAGAAATGTCACGATTATTTTAGCCTGGAATCACCCACAGAACTTCTTAATAGCCATTTTCACAGAGATAAAATCTAGAAAAGGTTCCTGCTGGAGCAACCATTTTAGGCAGCAGAGCTCATTTCTGTTCAGCAAATTACATGTGGACTGCAGGACTCCTCAATGATTTTAATTCAGCACCTAGTTCGGCTTTTATTCCTATTCTGCTAAACAACAGCCATCCATCTCACAGCTAATGGAGTCCCAGGCTTGCCAAAACAATGCAAGTAATTTAGGTCCAAATGGTAACAGTCCAGGTTGGGAGGGCTAAAGTGAAACTCAAGCTAAGAGGAATCTTAGCAGAGATGTGTCTGTCCTGATTGGGAATGTTTTGTAACAGCCCCCACAAGAAGATGCTTTCCCTTACCTTCAAAGTAAAAACTCTGGTTGGTGTTCTGATCTCAAAAACCCCTTCCCCATTTTCCACCTTGCAGTCAAAGCTGGCGCTGGAGAGATCGATAGACCCCAAAGGGTTAATGTCCTGTGCAGTTCTGTAGTATAGCAAATGACATTTGTTTTCATCATAAAAGAACCAGCGAGACTTCCAGGTCTTGATTGGCCCCTTGATGCCCAGCTTATTTAAATAGCCACAGAGTTTTTTTCTGGATATCTCTCTGCTGGGTTTCAGCTGTACATTTTCCAGTTCTCCAGAATAGGAAAGCATGTCTTTCTCTTTCGCTGAGGCTCCACTGCTGCTGCTATTGTCTGTATTTGACTCCACTGCGTCGCCTGGAGCGGCAAGGGGACAAGCTACACTTTCTGATCCTTTTTTCATCTCTTTCAGGAAATACACTCAGAATCAAGATTGAAACAGAAAATTCTCAAGGTAAGTAACAGCAGATCCCAACTAGATCATCGTTACAGAACCTGCAGCAAATGAAAAAGGAGGAATAAGCTCAGGTCTGGCATACGACAAAAGACTTTCCCTAGCTTTCAAACTGCTCAGCCAAGGTCTCCAACTTCTACTTTTGGTCATTGCTCCCTGCCTTCCTCAGCTCAGATGACCTCTACATATGTGTCTTCTCTCTTTTCCCTTCATAAATTAGCCTGGACTAGCAGCCAGAAAGCGGCACCACAATCTCTTGAGTGAAAAATAAGTACAGTCTGTGGGCATACCACATCAATAGCAACAATCAAGGCATTTGAAGCCACAGACAACAATGTTAAGTAACAATTGCAGAAAACATGGTGAGATAACGAGCTCGGGGGGGGGCGCACATACTTGGGTCAAGGGATTTCAGGTAAGCGTATTCTGGCATTTCCACTGAATGTTCAGCTAATATTCTAAACTATGGTGTCTGGAGAAAAATCCAGCATTATGCAGCATCCTTACAATTCTTTCATGTCAGTTGAGGATTGCTGTGAAAAACCCTGCATGCCATGTGTTATGTCTCCACCCAGTAGGCCTTATATGATGGATTATGCACCAGAGAAAGTAATTCTGTGATCCTTGCAAAAGAGACTTGGTTGCTCAGTGGCCAAAGTAACCTGCTGAGCTCCCAAGAGGAACGCAATGTGCAAGAGAGAAATAGAAAAACAAGGCTGGAGGGGATCTGTGGAAATCTCTAGTCCAACTTCAAAGCTGTAGCTTTGAATTCAGGTAAATTTTGATCATATGCAAGGATGGTAATTCTGACACGTTTCTGGGCATTTTTTCAAGTGCTTAACCATATGGCAGATGTGATCTTTTGCTCAGAGCTCTAGACACCCATGGCCCTTGTACAAAGAACGCTAACAACACTCCAGAAAAATACCTATAAATAATTTCTTGCATTTTTTTCTTAAGTAAAAATTTACTTAATGGTTTAAAGATCAGTAAGTGAAAAGACTACCAGAGACTTTGTTTCAGATGTTAATGTATCTGAAGCAAATACATAAGCAAATAAATTGTTGCAGCGTTAAGTTAGTGGGAATCCAACTGCAGACACAAAACTACTGAACACAAGAGTCAGCTGCATGCCAACAGGTGAATGGAGATTAATACCATGGAGCACACAGAGATGCTGCCCAAGCTCACACTCTTAGGAACAACTTACGACTGAAAGAAGGCTTACCCATCCTTGTGCTGACTAAGCCCCATCGCATTTATTGCTGCCCCATCCTGTTCCCACATGAGCTTCTTAGACAACTATAGATAATGTTCACTCTTTCTGGAAAGCTACTGAACTTTAGTTCACTCACCCATGGATCCTGCTGCTGAATGCATTCACAAATACCAGGAAGAAGCACCCTTCATGAAGGTGCTGCCCCAGCTAAGCTTCTGAAACACCCAAAAGCTTCACTTCCGAGCTAATTTTGTCCAGCACAAAGGAACCACCATCAGGAGGAAGAAGCAGTCTCAACTATCCCTAAGAGACCCTGGGGCTTTTATGGCAGTACCAGCATAAGGACCTCCTGTAACATCTGAATACTCCATCACACCTCTACCTCTTGCCAGCATGATGGTCCATGGGTCCACACTGTGAACAGGATCAAGTAAGAGTTTTGAGTTCAAGCACCAAATTATAAGGAGTCATGTCAGATCCGCATTGCAAAGCACTCTAGAGGAGAAGATCTCACCTCCTTAAGAGAAGCGGAGAGATGGCCCTGGAAGTCACGGTCTGCTGGTGTAGAGCCACTGCTGCAGGCACCACCAAGCAGGTAACCACAGCCTCCACAAATCCGACAGCAACACAAGAGGGGCTTCTGCCTCAAGTTTCCTTCGGTCCAGTCACTGCCTGGGAACGGCCTGAAAGAGATATTTAGCTGAAAGCAGCTCTGACACTCACTCATAGGTGAAAACTGAAAATCAGGGCTGAACCCTGCACCGACCCTTCTGGAGCTGTCGGTGTAAACACAAGGGAGCACCTCCCGCCCCTCCCCGTACCTCCCCCAGCGCCCCAGAAGCGCCTCCCAGCTCAGCTGCACCGCGCTGGGGCACAAGCGAAGGCTGCTGGTGCCTGGCACAGGGCTGCGCTGCCCGGCGCCGCGGGGACGGGAGCCTGGCACCGCTGGTACCGCCCGGCCCGGGGGCGGGGGGGC